GTTGCTGCTGCGTAGTTATATACCTAAAACATTTGTGTTGCGAAATTAAAACCTGTTGCGAATTCAGAAATCGAGTTGCGAATTTGAAATTCAGTATTGCGATAGTCAGAATCTCGTTGCGATTTACAGATTCGCAATGCGATTTACGTATTCGCATTGCGATTTTCCAAATTCGCGTTGCGATTTACGTATTCGCATTGTGAATTAGGAAAATCGCAACGCGAATTTGGGAAATCGCAATGCGATGGTCAGAATCGCGTTGCGAATCTGGAAACTGATTTGCGATACCGGAGATCGCGTTGCGAATTATCGATCGCATTGCGATTTAGTTGGTCATTTTGGCAAATCCAAAAAAAGTTGGTTAAAATCGTATATTATAAGGCATTTTTGGTCACTGAGGTTATTTTCTCTTTTTTAAAAGGTAGAAACTTCTTTTGCCAGAAGTCACTAATTTTTTTTAAAAAGTTGAAATTAAATTTTAAATGTACAAAAAACAAAAAGACTTGGAGCATATCTTTTAACTTATTTTTTAGGGTATAATTTTTTTAATCATCTAAGTGTCTAACCTTATAAATATTATCATTTTAGGTGTTTGAGATGTAATGATCATTAAAAAATTCCGTTAAGTAACACATGTTACGCTCTAATAATTTTGAGTTTTTTTAAAAAAAAAATTTAAAAAATATTGTATTTATAAAAAAATCCTATGTTTTTTAAATTACAAAGAAGCCCTAAATATCTAACCTTAACTTCCCTGGCCACGGTTGTCGTCGCCTTGCCATCTACTTGATCGGTCTTCATCTCCCTTATCGTCGTGTGCGTCGTTGGATCGTCTGGGTGTCACGAATTTAGGGGTTTGTGTTTGTTGGAGATACGATTTTGGGTCGTGATTTTGTCGTTTCATTCGTCGGAGACAATATTTATGGTCGAATTTGGCTTGTTGAAGGGTGGAGGTCCGATCGACGTCAAACGGTGCTTACCGATTTAGGTTTAGGGATTGAAATTGGAGTTTTCAAAGTTTTGAGGTTTTTTAAAGTTTTCTAAAATTTTTGGGTTTTCTTTTAAAATATATAATTTCATTTTTTATTTTAAATAAATTTTTAAAATTACCAAAATATGATACATGTCATTTAACGGTCGTTACGGTCTGAGCACCTAAAATGGAGTAGTAACATTTGTAACATTAGGCACTTGAATGATTAAAAAAAATTAGACACCTATGTAGAAAAAATGACAGTTTGAATACTTATTTTATAATTAAGTCTATTTTTAAGAATGAAATAAAAAAATAAAATATTAAAGGTTTTGTATTTCAAACAAGAATTATTACCAATGAAACTATTTTAAATACCGATATACTTGTAAACCAGTCCCAAATTCAGATTTTTTAAATGAAATCCAAATGACAACATCGTACATCTCTTAAGTCTTAAACAAGTGTGCGACACTGAGATTTAAAGAAAAACAACAATCTACATACTGTATTTTCTATGTTATTTACAGCCTAAACAGTCATTATTTTGTTGTAGATTTCCCTGGTGTGGATGGACCAAGTTTTGAACCATAAAAAAGTTATTTCAAGAATTTTGGTGGCTCCTTTAGTACATAAACATACAGGTCATGTCCTAGTGTGTACTAAAATGGGAGTAGATGCACCCATGCGACATTTTAGAACATCTGGCTAAACCACGTTAGTCAGCACAATTAATGGGTTAAGTGATGATGATGATGATGGGGGCATGGTCATGCTCTGATTTCAAGTCTAGGACAACAGAAGCCTAAAAATTCTCTAAGTTACATAATACATGGCCATCACAGCCTCTAAAATTTTTACGTATAATGTTGGTGAGTTTGCCGTTGAATCAAATACTTGACGCCACCATGTACCTCACTGTGAGGTCAGGTGGTGTTGATTGAGGGTTTTGCCCATAAAACCTGGTACCTGGTAAAATCCTCTAGTAGTTGATTGCTGCTGAGGATGAGACTGAGGCTGTGCCGGCTGATAAGCAGGCTTAACTAACCTCATTGTCATTTGTAGGGGTAGAGGAGGTGGCGGTGGCAGCGTGTTGGCTCCATAACCATAAGTCATTAACCCTACCATCATACCACTCAACTGCATGCAATGACTTGCTGCTAGATTTGGAGGAGATTGAGGTGGAGGGGGAGTGGTAGGAGCAAAAGGCATGGGAGTTTGAATCTGGTTGGCTTGGGACATCGGTTTCATACCATTTGATGGTGCAAGTGCCACACCGTTGATTGGCTGCTGCTGTGGTGTGCCAAAATAAGCCACACTGCCCATGTCCGAATTGCTTGCATCAGACGCAGGCATCGGTTCTCAAGTTTAGGGCGCTTTTCTGGAGGAAACACTGATAATCCCAATGTGGACCCACTAGAATTTAAGCTACCATTAAGAGAAGCAGCTTCTTCAGCAACAAGAAACGAAACTACCGCGGTAAGCATCTGAGCAGAAGATGTTGAAGCAGCAACTGCTTTCTTGCTATCTTCTTCAGTTGTTTTCAAAGGTGCAAATGAAATCATAGGTTGCGGAAGAGGAGTGTCAGTTGGCTGAGCTGAAGGAATGTTCTGTTCACACACGGCCACGGCCTCCGCTGTTGGGATAGATGTAGCGGTTAGATGGCTAGGCCAGGGGGTAAAGTTAGTATCTTCCTTCAATTGCTTGATTTCTCAATATGACCACGAGCAACCTGCACAAACACCAATAGTTTCACTTCTGGGAAAGTAGCAAATCTTATACTAGTTGTTTTATATCAAAGAAAAGTACAATCAAATAATGAAACATAAACTAGTATAAGATAACATGTACATATACTAAGCAATCACTTCGTACCCAATAATCAAGTCAAGTCCGAAATAGCCAATTAATTTTGGATCAAATGTCTATAAATCTGCATATAGAAGTAGACTACGCCTACCAAAAGATACACAGAATATCATAACATGGGGTGTGATTGATTTGGTTCATGAGAGGAAGCATACAACCGTGATAAAAGTTCCCTATTTGAAATTTCTACCCTAAATACGCCTAGTGTTCCGAATCCCTACCTAAGTGATGCTAGTGTAGAATATTTCCGTGTGTGAGTAGAGTAATTTGTGTGAACAGAATATTCTTTATAAATTAAAACAGATTGCAGAAAATAAAAGATTGCATTCCCAATTAGAGGATGTTGACTTTTAGGGATTTGGCTGCTGATTTTTCAACTTTCCTAGATTAGGCTTCTTCCGTAAACTATAAATAAGTTATATCTTTATCAATAAAATATCAAGAAAAATATAGAAAACTTCTTTGCACATTCCACCTTTCTACATGGTCTTAGCTTAAGCCTTTTTTTTCGATCTTTATTTTTTTCTCCTTTTCTTCACCAGCCCTTATAATCAGCCTTTTCACTAATGACCACTATCGATTCTGAAAATATCTCTGCCCAAAATCAACTACTCTCACAGGTTGGTTCCTCTTCTTCCTTTCCTCTCACTCTTGCCGATGCATTTCCCATATCAATAACAAACCAAAAATTGAATGGGAACAACTATATTCAATGGTCTCAATCTGTCAAGCACTACATCACTGGACGAAACAATGAGGATTACATCAGTGACGACAATGTTATTCCTACCCCGTAAGATGCTGGTTACAGGACACGGTTGAGTGAAAACCATATGATTATCTAATGGTTGATGAACTCCATGGTTCCTGAGATTGGTGAGAATTTTCTTCTTTATTCTACTACTAACGAGATTTGGAAGGAAGTTAAATAAACTTACTCAAGTATTGATAACACTGTTGAGTTTGTTTGCTATTGAAAGTAAGATGCATGATCTTAGGCAAGAAGAGTTTACTATCACTCAATACTATAATACCTTGTTAAAATACTGACAACATATAAATCTCTTTGAAGAACATGAATGACAATGGGAGGTTGATGATGCTCTTCAAAAAATAATAAATTACTAAAAAAATCAATATCTAAGTAACTTGAACAATAAAGAAAAAAATGATTAAATGAACTTATATTTTGTACCGGCTTTGGCGTAATTGGATACATTATTCGTCACCACTTGAACTATATTTTCCTCTCCCACTTCCACTATCTTATCAAGCATCTAAAACAACAAATTTGTATATTTGACAATTTCTGAGACATCCATGGATTTAATGAACACAAAGCCCATTGGAGAGATGACAAGGAAGTTCACAATATCTTTTTGAACAACAGAATCATGCCATCCATCCGATAAAATTGAACAACCCTTTTGCGTTTACTATTTTTTGTGACCCTCCACTACCTTTTGAGTGTCCACTACTTCCTTTTTAAGGAGAGAAACTCTAATCTCACGCATACTTGGAGGTTTCAAATTGGGACCTATAGTTTCACACATTTCTTTGAAGCTAGGGTGATTAGCCTCATCGAATACAATTTCAGCTTCATAAAAAATATCTTACAATTGCCCTACAAGAGTTCTCCCATAATTCTTTGTCGTAAGCTGCATGCACTCCTATCTTAGAAACTTTTCCACAAAAATTGCAGACCCAATTGTTATTGTTCGTCGGCTCTGACTTTCCATATTTTCTTTTCGGTTCCACAATGGTCGATAATCCAATTGAAGCTGATTCCGACTCCATTATTTAAGTTTTAATAACCTGAAATTCATATGAAGTTATGTTATGAACATAATTAACATGAAATTCATTTGAAGTTATGTAATGAAAATAATTAAACTTGAAGTATTGTAACACCCCCATACCGATACAAGTGATTCGATCCGATCTGAGGTGTCCCCATTAGGGCCATCAGAACGACCCACAATATAAATCCAAGGAAAATTAATTTTTTTTTATTAAACCTTTTAGAACTACAAAATAATTTATACATAAAATCAAAAGTTAAAAAATCATTCCAATTTTAAAATTGAATTCAAATAATATACAACCTCAAAACACGTTTCAAACATTGATATAAAAAAATAAATGTGACCTACATGCCCCCTAATCATACATGTATCGTACTCATAAGCAATGCTAGAGGAACTCCCATACTGATGTCGATATTATACAAGATCGATTCTTTAACCTGAAATGGTGAGTAACAGAGTGAGCTTTGAGAAAGCTCATTAATACAAAACTACCAAATGGTACTAAAGGAAAAGCAGATAAATGGAAGCATGTAATTTCCTTAATTATTCAGGCATATACAAGTCCTGATGTTAAGTTGAGATTTCACAAATTAATTCTTCAGGTAACAGTCAGGAAGCTTACAATTCAGAGGAAACATTCAAAGAGACACATTTAGAATATGGGGTTGAGGTTGAGAGTCTAATGTGTTAAAAACCATAAATAGTAGTTTATTTCAGTAAAATATATTTTTAAAATCGCAATAATACCTTCCAATCAAACACTCAATATGTAATTTCCCTGAACTGCATCCATAAGGACTTACCCTAGGCTCATTGGGCGTAGGAGCCAACCTAAGGGAACACCATGGGTTCATAAGGACTTACCCTAGCCGAAGCGTAGGAGCCACCTGAAGGGAGTGCCCTCAAGTCCATAAGGAGTTACCCTAACTATAAAGCAATGAGTCACCCTAAGAGAGTGTCTTAGGGTCTATAAGGTCTTACCACGATGCTCATTGGGCATAAGAGCTCACCCAAGATTCGCCTTAGGTCCATAAGAAATTATCAGCTTAATCAGAGTTAAACCACAAAACTTCATAATACATCCCATATAGTGCCCCATTATAAAACATGTTAACAATAATATTAGAATCAGGAGCCAAATGTATCTAGTATCAGATACCAGAGATCAAAAATCATATATCAGAATCTAGAGATCAAAAACCAGATATCAAAAACCATATTTTTATTTCAAATATTAGAGCATGCTTTTAAAATCAGAGAAAATATTTATATGCATGAGGCACACACTAAAGGAATCAAATATCTTTCCGGATGCGCTTGGTAGTTATCAATAATGGAAACATGAAATTCTATAAATTGATCAGATTTCAAAAATAAGATCCCTATTAAAAGAGTACGACTATTAACAGATCAAATCAGACATTTAGAAATTGATGCTTCGTGACCATTTAGGATTTCTGGTGTATCAAAAAGGTGTTCGGGAATCTTACATCAAAATTTTTATTTAAGATTCGAATATAACAAGAGTGTTTCCATTACTCAGGTCAATAGGGGAATTTTAGTCATTATATTTCCTGAAGAATTCTTAGTAATTTAACCCAATAAGAGTAAAATGATTATTTGCAAAATTCATGATTTATATCGAACTATTAGGATTTCAAGTTAAACATCGAACTACATATCCCATCACTGCGATACTTGCCAATCATTCAGACTGAGATACTTCACCATCATTTACTTTCTAATACCGACTGCTTCATATACTTGAATAGATCACCTTCATAGACCATTACTAAGTGTAACTCGAGGAGGCAGACATTATTTAAGCGGTATTTCTTCCAATTATTGCAATAATAACAAAGGTGACCAACACACTTAGGTTGCACTATAATACCCTTAGTGTTGTTACAACATTTAAAGCTTTGCTGGTACTTATAGAACTCGTCCACAAGCATTTCCCTTAATCCTGTGTGTGAGGGTATTTAGGTCATTTCAACAATCAATGATATTTCAGTCATTCTCTTTTGATTCATTTTTTCATATAATGTAATCATTTCGAACTGTTCGAACGTAAATGATACTTTCAGTGATTTAGCCTCCGGGCGTATGCTCAGGTATCATAAATTCTATGTATATTTTCCCAACTCAGAGATAAATTTTGATTATCATGGTTTCTCAAAACAGATCGGGTATTTAACAAGTGAAATGGCAGCTCTATCAGGTCAAGTTTGAATTTTTAGGGGTTTTCTAGTTATTACGGATCTTGAGGATATTCCAATCATTTCATCCAATTCATAAATATAAAGTACTCCTGATAGGTCAGTCTTCAGATATTCATTAAAGAGTCAAAAAATTATAATTCTTTGCCATCTCAGAGGTTAAAATCGATTATCGATATTTTTCTAAACAAAACAAGCATTTAACAGGTGCATCAATAGATTTATCAAATCAAATATGTCTTTCTAGAGTTCTTTTCACTTCCAGGTACAATCATTGTCTTTTTACATCATAGAGGTGTTTTCGTAATTTCTTATCCATGCATTTTTTGCATTTAACCTTTAGCAGAGATAATCAGAATTTACAGACCTTGAGGTTAATTGATTTACTGATTAATCGATGAGTCCAAATTTATTTCTTATGGGTCTTCTAATTTCCTATGCGAGTCATATGAGTCTTATTCAGTTTACTAACTCTACATTGTATCTAGTTCGAGTCCAATAATAATTAACTATACATAAAAGCCCAATAATATTGATTCATGCAACCAATACCAACGTGTTACTTAAAGCATTCGAGCCACATCGATCGACCAATTAAACTTCATTCGATCGATTTTGCACTTGAATTTGACGTCCCATAATATCTCATATACATGACAAAATGAATTGCATCAGAAACGAAACTTAAACGTGAAAATCAGATCGAATCGAAGGATAAAATGTTGAAAATAGCTTACCAATTTCGAATTTGGTGAAACGGACGGGAAAACAGACTCGAGACATAAAAAAACTAGGTGGTCTTGAAAAAGTCAATGCTCGGTCAACGGTCAGATCAATGGCTTGACTCAGGCGCGGCTTGGCTCGATTCATCACAAACCAGATCGGTTCGATTGGTTCGGGAGGTCTAGATTGGTCCAGACCGATTGTGGAAACTACCAAGGCGAAAAACAACCCTCGCGTGCAAGGGGTGGTGCGTGTGACATGTGCGGCGGGCAAAAACAATTGGGACAATGGCCAATTACTCCCCAAGCCTTCAATCATTGATTTAACACCATTACAAGCCAAACAACGAAATACACAAAGAAATTATAGGAAAAATGGCTGAAAGTTTACCCAACGGTGGACGAAGCAAATGAGACGGTGAGGTGACAACGATGGTCGAGTTTTGGTCGGAATCACTCGAGGAGTTCAATGGCGGTGGCGGTGTGACCAACGGAGCTAGGAATCGACGTGAAAGCGACAAAAAACAATGACGATGGCTAGGTTTTTAGACGAAGCTTCAAACGTCGATTCACGACGAATGACAGACCTTTACAACGATCAATCGGGTGGGTTTTGATCACGACGGCCAGGAGTACACACTGGTAGGTAACAATCATGACGATCGGACGAAGCTTGAACGGTGATGAGACGAGTAGCGACGGAGGGTATTATATTTGGGGATTTTATTTTAAAGTTTGTCTCAGGTTTAGATTGTGAAAAAATAATTTTGGGGTGTTGGATCTGATCCAACTCCAATATAAATTTTAAGTTTTATAAAATAATATTAAATAGTGCCCTTGCAATTTAAACTAATATTAAATAGTGCCCTAGCCTAAATAGCTAAGGCATGAGCACCTTTACCTCTAATGTCACAGGTTCTAATCACTACAGTCCCCCTATTTCAATTTTTTCCCCCGCAGACCAACGATGGTCAAATCCGAGGATGAGCTTTCTGGGATTTCAAAAACTGTCCTAATTTTTTTGAAAACTTACAAATTGATACTTGAAAAATAAGTTAATTAATTACTTATTAATCAAGCTTCAAGCTTCAAATTAGGGTGTGACAAGTATTTTTGAGTCATTTTTTATTATAATATTAGAGGTTATAACCATTAGTTTTTACTATTATTTACCATGATATTTCTAGAATCGAGATTTCAATACAAATGCGAAAATAGAAACTCGAGATTAAATGAACGAGCACAAAACAATAGAAATCATTATTTGCTAATTAAACATCAGTCTATTTAAACATCAATGAAACATTCTATTTAAAAATCAATGAAATAAAAATGAATTAGTAAATAATAATCTAAAACGTCATTTAGGATGCAAATGTAATTTAGAATCTAAAATAAATATCATTTAGGATACAAGAATCAGTAAACAAATGTCATTTAGGATACAAAGAATCAATAAACAAGTGAACAACAAATGCATTAGTTTTTCAGTGTTTTAAATGACTTCTGTTTACTGATGCATCAAGTCTCCCACGGAAGCTGCTCTCAACCTGGCGTTGGGGGCAGCCTACTATCTTACCTCCCCCTTACCCCATTACATATGAGAATAAGAGACAGCTAATTTTACTACCCTACCTCTCCCTTACCCCATTGCATATGAGAATAGGGTTTTGTTGTTGTTGTTGTTGATGCAAGTAGAATAATTTGCATTTTGTTCAGAAAGACAAAGTACAATATATTTCTCTGATTATTCAGGTTACATTGAGGTTTGAAACTTTCTCCAAAACTTATATCACAAATTTTCCATATCATTTTTAAGTACAAAATACAAATATCTTCTGAAGGATCCAGCAAAATAGCTATATATTTCTTATGCCAAATAAAAATCAAGGGCACCTAAAATCTCATATAAAGGGATTTGTTAAAGGTTTCCAATTAACCATTAAACTCTATTCAAAGCCCATACCTCAAGCATTCACAGCCTATTGGCATGATGCCATTTTGTTGCAATTGGCAGCATCACCAAAATGACCATCCTATTTTTCCATAGCGGTCAACACCAGGGCTAGAATTCTGAATCACTCAAAAGATTTCTCCCTATTGAAGGTCCATAATTTTAAGGGGGGGGGAATAAAACATAATTTATGATTCCTAAAGTGCACTTGACCATGATACATGTTAGATGCTCGTTTCAAGCATATTAAACTTTGAAGAATAAATTTTCCTAAAATTTAGCATTAATAAGAGCAAATCATTTCAATTCAGTACTAAAAAACAAGTGGGATTTCTTGGCTTCATCCACGAAATTCTGGTTGCAAAAAGAAAAAGGATCATAATCATAACTGTCGTAACCAGTTTTCGCCCGGGCACGAAATTTTTGCTTCGGCGGGAAAAATGATATGAATAAATGGTTTTAAAATGTTTTGAGAGTCGACATCGGCCTTTTGGGTCAGGTAGGTCGAATACCTTAAAATTATCTTTTAAAAGAGTTTTTAAGAAAACATCAGTTAAAAGATAAATTGATCTGCGTATAACCAAAAATTCATTCTTTTTAGAAATAAAAAGGGATTCGTGGTCGGTTACGTTTAGGGAAGGATTAGCACCCCTACAACACCCAAAATTGGTACTTTATTAATTATAAGTTGTCCCTATTATTAGAAATTTAAAAATTCAAAGATATATTTAATTTATAATTCTGTTATTTTCAAATTTATAATTTCACGATCTTCTCCTGTCACACTTCGAAGTTTAGACGACGGCGTTTGGTTTCATCTTCTCCGATCAGGTTTCCCTTTCACATTTCTACTTCCCCATAGCTTTCCTCAACATTCCGTCTTCAGATCAGATCAACTTTTACTTGAATCTCTGAAAGCTTTTTTTTAGCTTTTCTGTTTTAGCTTTCATAATCTGAAAGCTTCTTTTAGCTTTTATAATATTTAGCTTCTCAAACTATTTTAAAACTTTTTTTTGTCTTTAAATTAGCTTTAATTAAGTTAAATATCTTGATTTAGTTGAAATGTTGTTTTTAATGAAGTAGATCTACCAATAATTAAGCTGAATCAAATTTTTATTATTGCTTCTAGATTAAAATTTGCATGTTTATTAAAATTTTGTATTCTAGAGGCTGATTACCTTTTAATATTTGTATATAGATTTTGTTTTTTGGTGAGCAGTAATTTGAATAACAAAAGAAATTTACTTGTTCTGTTTCTGATTTGAGCTCTCAATTTGATTCTTTGGTGACACTAAGCCATTTATCTGGGTTTGCTTAGTTGTTCCATTTGGGTGATTAATTAAAAAATTTATCTCTTTTTACTACAATCTGTGTGATTTGTTTAGCGTTTTATTGGTGCATCTTCTGTCTTCTTTGGATTCTTTTTTCATAGTCCCTCATAGCTTCGGCTATAGATGATTACTTGAGGTCATGTCATTCTTTTAGACTCCATAGGGAATATAGGGGGAGGGCTCGACAGAGTGATATCAAGGAAACTAGACTTAGAGTTTGTTCTTTGAATGTAGGCACTTTAAATGCTAGGCTGCTAGAGCTGACCGACGTACTTAATAATAGGAAAATAGATTTGGCTTGTATTCAGGAGACTAGGTGGAAAGGGGCTCGCGCCAGAGAGTGCAATGGGTACAAGTTGTGATATTCAGGCGTAGATAGCGCTAGAAATGGGGTGGGTATCTTGGTATCATCTAGGCTCAAGGAAAATGTAGTTGAAGTTTGTAGATATCGGGATAGGATTATGATGATTAAGGTTATTATAGAAGCGGATGTGGTGAATGTCCTTTTAGTGTACGCGCCACACGTTGGCCTAGGGGAGGGGGAGAAATGTTGCTTCTGGGATCAATTAGATGATGTCCTTAGGAGCATTTCGGAGGACCAAAGAGTTTTCATAGGGGGAGACTTCAATGGCCATGTAGGTAGGGCAACCGACGGGTATGGCGGTGTTCATGGGGGTTTTGGGTTTGGTAGTAGGAACGAGGAGGGGCGTACGTTGCTTGAATTTACAACTGCACACGATATGGTGGTCATAAACTCCTTTTTTAACAAGAGAGATGTGAACTTGATTACGTTCCATAGCGGTGGACATTGTACCCAAATCGACTACATCCTGGTTCGAAATTGGGATCGATGGGCTTGCACTGACTGTAAGGTGTTCCCTGAAGAGGCATGTGCATCACAACACAGATTGTTAGTTTTGGTGTTCCGCGTACGTCACGGGCATAGCACTCATAGGAGGGCTATGCTTGGTAAACCTAGGATTATTTGGAAGAACCTACATGGAGCGACAGCTGATGACTTTAGGAGTAAGGTTTTGTCTAATACAGGTTTTGGAACTTCAAACTCAAAAAATACAGATATGTTATGGAAAAATATGGCAGATTTCATCAGAGAGGTAGGCAAAAACACCCTTGGGTTGTCAACAGGGAAGGTCAAGGAACATAAAGAATCGTGGTGGTGGAACGATGAAGTCCAAACTAAGGTGAAGACAAAGCAAACTTACTTCAAGGAGTTGTTACAATGCACTGACGACGAGAAAAGATCGAAAGCTAAACAAAGATACAAGGAGGCAAAGCGGGAAGCCAAGAAAACGGTGGCTAAAGCAAATGATAAGGCATACGAGGAAATGTACAAGAGATTAGACACTAAGGAAGGTCAAAACGGCATCTTCAAGCTTGCAAAATCCAGGGAGAATAGGAAAAAGGATCTAGGTAGCATTAGTTTCATAAAGGACAACAATGGTGTCCTCTTAGTGAAAGATCATGATATTAAGAGGTTCTGGGGTAGTTACTTCTTTGGCTTATTTAATGACGATGCCTCTCCCTGTAGAGATAGAACCGTTGATGGGTCAGCCGACCATCATACAACGCTCTTTGACTGCCCTACAAGTAAGATTGGGTTTGAAGAAGTCAAAATGGCTCTTAGAAAGATGGGAAGGGACAAAGCTGTCGGTCCAGATCAAATTCCTATCACTGTGTGGTTGGTACTAGGAGAAGAGGGAGTTAAGTGGTTGACCAACATCTTTAATATTATTCTAGAGACTGCCAAGATGCCAGAGGAGTGGAGAGAGAGTCTACGGTGATACCAATCTATAAGAATAAAGGAGATCCCCAACGTTGTGGCAACTACAGAGGTATTAAACTACTCAGCCATACCATGAAGCTATGGGAAAGGGTGTTAGAGGCTAGGTTGAGACATATTACTAGGGTTTCGGAAAAACCAATTTGGCTTTATGTCAGGCAGGTCCACCACGGAGGCGATTCATCTTCTTCGACGGCTTATGGAGAAATATAGGGAAAAAAATAGAGATCTTCACATGGCGTTCATTGACCTTGAGAAGGCGTATGATAGCGTTCCCCGCGATACTATCTGGAAGACATTGGAAACGAGACGGATCCCAACTGCTTATATCCGCGCGATTCGTGATATGTACTGTAGATCAACTACCTACGTCAAGACTACAGTTGGCGACACCGAGGCATTCCCGGTGGAAATCGGACTCCACCAAGGGTCGGCTCTTAGCCCTTACATCTTCGCTTTGATTATGGACGACATCTATTGTGCGACACCAGACGGTGTTCCATGGTGTATTCTTTTCGCTGACGACATCGTCTTAGTGGCTGAAACAAAAACTGAGCTGAATAGTAGACTGTCTACCTGGAAAACAGCTTTGGAAGAAAAAGGTCTAAGGATCAATATTGAAAAGACAGAGTATTTATGTTCAAACTTCAGTGGGAACCAAAACGATGAAGATGTAGATA